GATGTGAGATGTAAATGTGGGGAACTGCGCGTGAAACATGTTTTATATTATAATGGCTAGCTATCAACAGTGAAACAACAGATGGAATTGAATGTAGTCGGAAATTCCTCCACGCTGAATACAATATTGTTATGTCGAAGCTCAGGTAATCTCCAGAGTCGTATAAAACTACGGTTAGCATTAACCCTTCGAAAATAAATTTCGTGTAAGCAAACGTTATTTAAAAATGTCGCCCCTACCGCAAAGAGAACACAATAGTTCTCCATTACTAACACGAATTGGTTAAATCTGTTTGAGGATATAATCGCGATCTATTGTGATAAAGATATGGAACTCATTAATACATGGTGAAGTGGGTGGTGCATATATTTACCACTGGGTTTGAAATTATCAAGTATAACAATCATCACGTGAAAGAATAAATTGGCATATTGCAGATGTTGGCGTGATATATGGGCCATCTGAAATATTATCTCAAAAGAGGGCATTAGTTGATTAGGAAATTTGATAAAGAAACGCGTGTATTTTTAAAATTTAGTTTTCATTAGGACCACGTCCGTTCCCACTAAATTCTCATGATGTAGAACCTCGACAACAAAAGTGGATATACAAAAAAAGCAGAACGAGCAGTAATGGAGACGCGACGATGATTTTATAATGTCCGTGTTCGTTTAGCGTGACACCGGACGCGAAGTCCGGTGTCCCTTTGATTTGATATCACTTCATTAATTCTGACCACATGCATCATTGGAGTATTTTTCGAAAAACTATGTTTTAGGTATGCCATGAAGAATTTAGTTATTTTACTCCAACAGACTAGCCGTTTTCTTGGAGCTTTAAACGTGTACCCCACAACAACGCCATATTCCATGTAATTTATTTCGTTTTATTTGCATGTATACACGCCTCTTTGTATGCATGATGCATGTTCTTGGTTTAGGCTCAATTTAATGCTGATCTCTTATCTGCGAGATGGAGCTGGAGGATTACCGCATGTCTGGATCGCGTGGAAGAAATATCCAGCAGCCTACTGGCTGTCTACAGCAGATAGGAATACTTTACCAGCTTTGATGCCTGTTTAAATACATGCTCCGCGATATACCTTAATCACAAGGCACCTGATTCAATAGAACCCGACAAGCCGCTTATTTAGTCGCTTAAGTAAAATGTTTGCCCCATTTTAATATAAAATGGCCCAGCGTTTGAAACACGAGATGTGGGCAGTTGTTTCAAATGCGTTTTTAAATTAGTAACACACGGAAATATTAAATAGTTTTTCTGGGACGTTTATAATGTTGATTACTTAGTTTGTGGAGTAGTCGTCTTTATCGTGGCATCACAGAAGGCAAAGTCACACATATCTGTACGAAATGACACAGCTTCTTACTGCAGTGAAGGTTGAAAGAGGACGGATAAAATGGACACTGTGATGTTGGATCGTAATTTACCCCAAATCCCCGGCCAAAACAAACGAACCAATCCATCTACTCCCCTCGGACTGGGCGATTTATCTGGAGCTGTATTTGGTTAGAGGATTACTGCGCATGGAAGGGAGTCTAAATTCAATCCAGTTGGGTTTTTAATCCACCCTTTCCTGTCCCTCTTTTTAAATCCCAAACCTTCACATCAAAGCTCGGCAGTGTTGCCAAAATTCGAGTTGCAGATAAAGCAGACGTAATTGGGACATCCTTTAATTAAGGCTGTTCTTTTGTCTAAGTTCTCTTTCATAATGCTTCCGAAAAGCAGCTATAAGGGATTAATTTGGAGACCGCAGTTCTTGCTAGCCAAAGAGGACTCGGGGATTTGTGGTCATTCCCTTGGAATCACATGGACGTAGCAGGTTTAATTTACTCTGTCTGCATGTGGCGTTTGGCTCAAGAATGAGCAGAATTGAATTCGTTGCAAGAGACTGTTCCTCAGTTTTCACCACCAACAACATAAATTTCCCTCTTACTGGACCAGAAAGTTATTTCGCCGTAATCAGACCTGTTCAATCCATTTCACACACATGCATCCTCTATTTCACATCCATATCCAATATTCCGATTACCGGGCGCTCTCATACTACCAGGGCCCTAACCAAAATTATGACATCGTTTCTTGTTTCCCCCCATGTATGCCACATGCTCTATGATCTCATACGAGGTGCGATCGGAAGGTTTCCAGACTGCGCGTATAAAAACCCGTGCACTTATCTCAGGTATTAAATTCATCCATCACCCTCGACGTAGTTCCCCTGGGAGTGAACACAACGATCCCAGCGCCGCTGCCAAGCCTGGAAGCATCCCTGGAAATCTTTCTTTGTCAGCCTGTCAAGCACCATCTGCGATTCTGCCTGAATCTCTTCTATCGTCTCAAATCTCCTTCCCTTTAGCTGAATTTTCATCTTTGGGAAGAGGAAGAAGTCACACGGAGCTTAGAAAGGAAGTTGGGGTCGGTTCTTGCAAGATCTTTGAGCTCCTGACAAACGAGAAGTCGATTCTGCTTCTGGTCCTCAGAGAGGATGCGTCGCATGTGGAGTTCTTCCTTTAGAATCAGCTGACAGGTCCCAACAATGTCGCACAAGTCGTTGATGGTACGACGTCGATCTTCGTAACATTTTCGGGCGTTGTGCTCGAAGATGGTCGTCCAGAATGCTCGTCATCATCGACAGGGGTTCGGCCATTTTTAAAACGTGAATGCCCCACAAAAGTTTGTGCACGACCCATTTCGAAGTATTTCCCCAAATGCTTGCTTTAGCATTTCATAGGTTTCCGTAGCCGTTTTGGCGAGTCTTTGGCAACATTTGATGCACACGCCATTCCGAAATCGCAGGAGGGTCGGTGTAATGCACTACCAAAACGCCCGTAACTAAGAAACAAATGCTAATTCGATGATGCCGGCTGGCACACTGATTCACTATGAATGTAGGCCTCACCCCCTAGCGCAGAAGCTCGTACTACATCCGGTTCGCCCGCTATTGACACAGTCTTGAAACTTTCCGATCGCACCGCGTACGTAATTGTGTGTTTTCGTAGACTTTAACTATCATTTAACTTTTTGGTAAGTAATTCACGTACAGACGAGGTCCTGACTGTTAAAATGTCACTGTTGGTGCTTTGGGTTTTAACGCCATGAGGTCACATAGAGAGACAATCTCTGTCTCCAACCTGAGAGTAGGCCATAAGTCCTTCCAAAGCGTTGGTATAGGCCTACAAGATCACACACCATTTCAATCGGGAAGACAAACATCAAAGTTAGAATTACCGACTTTTGGGACACTCTGTATACGAACAAGTTCATTCGTCCTACAAACTGCATCCGTAGTTAAACATTAAAACATGGTTCACTGTTACATTTACCTGTCTTCAGTGATATTAGTACAGCATGGAGATCAGAGAGTAGTCTCTAACAGTGTTTAGGACCAAGAATTTTGCGTCTAAACAAATTACACTTTTCAACTAACAAAAAATATTCTGCAAATTTAACGTTTCCGAAAAAAAAACTCTTACAACTCGCAGTTGATTCAGTGTTGATATCAAGATTAATCAGACCTGGAGAGAAATTACAGCGTGATTACATGCCATCCATCTTGAATCACTATACAAGACGTACGAACTAAGACTCGCGAAACACACAAAATGACAGTGGCTCTGAGGAATCTTGCGTGTCTGACTTGGGTCCATTTACAGCAGTAACTCTGACAAGAACTTCCCACAACGCCGTAAAAAAATTCAGAGTCTGATTCCCTTCAAGAACCAAATATTTCAAAATTCTTTACAAATTACTTCATCACAGATAAACAAATTCGCATTTCACAAATCCACATAAAATTACTAAAAAGTTATAATAAAATTTGTAACGTGTTACGTATATTTTATTTCCCATATAACAACAACAAAATAATGATTCAATCAGAAATGAAATTAATTACCTTGTATTATATTTAACTTTTCACACTGAACGAAACCCAAAAAATATCACACATTTTCTAATCACTAGAATGTTTAATAAAAATTATATTCAGTTCTGAGGCCATCAAATATCATTATGCTCTAAAGATGGAGGCAGTAAGTATATTCGAGAATGTCGTGCAATGAACCAGCATTGTAAATACCGTCAAGTTTACGTGAGGTGATCTGTTCGGAGAAGACCCCGAACTTAGGGCCAGTTTCTTGGATCTGGCATCATGAATATAACCCTCCACTCGCTTTCCGGGACGTTTTGACCCTAAATTCGATATTGAATTTGGGCAATTCACCAAAATTTTGATTCTTCCAAAGCTGAAGGCAATACAATTTTGTGAGCATTGCGTATTCATACAAAAAATGCGTAGAATAGTCTATTTATACATCTGTAATTTTGGGACACTGAAACACGCGTGTGGCAATGGACCTCTTAAAAATATAGAACATTATTTTGTGATGATGCCATGACTGACGATGACGGTATAGATTTAAAAAAAATACATGTTCACTTCTCCAGAACGAAACCGTGGCCTAACCTTCCGAGACGTGGGACAATCACAGACGCTGCTAAGACCAGATATAAATTCCTAGAAATCTTGCCACCGTCCAATTAATAATAATTAGCCCCCAATTCCTTAAAGATTTATTCAGATAAGCTTGCAAGAAGTTGCTTTTTATTTTGTGGGTGAGAATGAGCTTGGATCTTGACTTGAAATAAAAAAAAAATCAGAATGACGCTTATTTGAGAACAGGGTGTCGGGGGAGAATATTTGGAAATGCTTTTGACGAAATAAGAGACGGATGAAAGTTAATATCTCCGTTATAATTCCATTAATCTATAAAATAATCACGGAACTTTGCTGTAATTGTCGTTTCTTCCGATGGCAAAATGGCGTTCACAAGCAAACTGTACTTGCTTCATAATCGGACGTGAAATTTCCGTCAAGTCGAGCGACAGCCTAGAGCCACCGGAAGTTCAGCATCAACAGGAAGGAGAAACCCGAGTCGCTCATGTCGAGAATTCAGCCTCGAGATACAAGTTCTGGTACTCACCGCAGTCCCCGGCATGCTGAACGCGCGTGTTCTTCTCCTGGCGACATGACTTCATCCTCAGGGTGCAGTGGTTCTTGTACGTGACGCCATCTGTACCGCACACGGGCGTGACCATGGTGGGGCACTCCGTGGGGCATTGACACTCGGCTCGGCCGTCTGCAGTCTGCACACAGCTCGCCCCGTACGCACAATACGTCTTCTCGCACGGCTCTACAAAGACAAAGAGCGAATATCATGAAGATGCAGGCGGCAGGTCCACCAATAACAAGACTGCACGCGTCACAACCCACACGACCACAATGCAAGTGACTCTGCAAATTACGTAATTAGGCTAACAGACTGGGCGGACAGAGCGCCCCCCCCCCGTACTTTTCGCTAAAGTAAAATATGCGTATGAAGTTCATAGCATAACATAAAATCATGCACACAGTGAAATGTCTTTACAATTAAACAGTCAATTGAAACATTCTCAGCACGTCCACGTCTAGCCTGTGAACGAGGCAGGAAGTAGCGGACAGTGCAGGGTTTCAAGCTTGACTGATGCTGATTGGTTTAAATATCGGCACGTGACAGTCCGTGCTTACGGCGCAACTCTTGCCATTTCAGTTCTGAACTGCGCAACAATAACTCCACACTCAAACCTTGTAATGACGTCACCTCACACCGGTCCAATCGATACTCGGGCGGCCGACAAGTTATCTTACGATCGGCTTCACCGGAATTCTCCGTTTTGTGTCAATGTTACAGAAAACAGAAGCCGAGTTGGAGGGAATAAGCAATTGACTCCATTACCAAGTGTAACAGCTGATGGAGCTGACTCCAAGGACCATAATCCACAGTAAGAATTTTATAATCGCTCATCTACTCAAGAAATTCCTCGCCTTTATGGACCTCGAAGGTTCATTACCGTGTTCAGGGGAACTCGTGGTCCCTGTCCTGTGAAAGATGAATCCCATATCTACAAATTCAATTTTAATATTATCAACTCATGACTGATAATCTTAATTTCAGGCTTTCGAACCAGAACAAGTGCACACGTACCTAAATTTCCTTCATGCGTGCTACATGTCTTGGCCGTCTCATCCTGTTTGATTTGAACCTAGCAGCATTTGGACAAAGTCATACACCCTCAATCCGAGGTTTTCCTCATGTGAGCGCCCAAATTTCAGACGCATAAAAAACGACAGGCAAAAATTTCAGTTGTGAATATTTTCATCTTAAAATTTTAAATCGACGCCCTGACGAAGGACGATTCTATATTGCACCAAAACCGATATTTTCCCGAATAAAATTTTATCCACTTTTCTTCTCCAAATTATATTTATTTATCAGCGTCGTACACAAAAATTTGAGTTTATCACATTTCTAAAGGATTTATTAAGCATCTTTATGTATTGATTTTGTTCTGAAGTCTGGTGAGAATACATGAATATAGTTTTCCCTGAGTTTACTTCTAGAATAAGAAAAAAAAAACAATTTCCTTACAACTTTCGTGTTTTTGTTTAGCAATTTCCTGCTCTCACAGGACAAAGTGTGTTTAATTCAGACGTCGAAAATTTTTGTCAACACCTTTGTGTCCCGAAGGATTCAAGGGAAGAAGATAATTTATGGAGGACAGTTATTCTGTTTACTTTATTATCATTATTAATTTCACTTGATTAATTTACTAATCGGTTTATTTATGTAATGACACACGTATAAAAGAATTAACGTAGAAAATTTATATTTACGAGCCCAAATACAATTGTTAATTATAATAATAAATTATAATACAATAAAAAGGAAAGTGTCCTATTGCGCGCCATGCAGACGCTTGGGGGGGAGGTGGTATAGCTCCTACTCATTCTTAACCTCGGCACTAGATGGGGTAAGTTGTCAGCGTCACGCCCCGGCCGCGGTTTATCCCCGGGAAAGAATCCCGGTACTACCCATTGGAACTGAGGCTGCTACCGGACCCTTTGTCCATCCCCCAGAAGAATATGGAGCAGTGGTGGAATGACAATGACGTGAGAAAACCAAAGGACTCAAGAGAAAAATCTTTGTCCACCGCGTGCGGTCTTCAGCCAGTGGCTAACCGCCTGAGCTGCGGTGTGGCCAGTGAAAACCCTGTAACTTTAGCCTGGAAGTACGAAGCATACATCACGCAACAAGAATGAAAGTTCAAAGCCGCTAACCCCACAGCAGCGTCTGTTAGTGCGTCCGAAACACCTTTCTCAGGGCGCGCCAAGGACCTCGAGAACACGGAATTGAACATTTGCGTTCCACAAAGGTGAGAATAAAGGGCTAACTCAGTTTCACAAGAAGGACTTTGTTGGTTTCAGTTGGGTAATTAGTAGAGGCATCTACACGTAAGCAGCAGAGCGAGTCCGCCGACATGTTGAAACACTCCGACATTGCGTCTGAGGGAACACCAAAGAAACGAGTGTCAGAGAAGAGACTTCTATCTCAACCTTATCCTAAGTGCTAAAACATCTCCTAAAATTAACGCGTGCAAGTACTTTGTATCTTAGCACGTGTAATCATTATTTAAATTAAGTTTCTACATAAGCAGGTTGGCAAATATTTAGGTATTCATATGACAACAGAATGTTTAAAATATAAAACGCATATAAATGTGGTGAACAAAATAAAATATACTCATAATGACATTCTGATTAACGAAAATATGTTACTCAAACGAGCAATGACTGACAAGTATAAAATATTAAATACCACACTGCAATCATATCGTTTACAGAGGCAACCACAAACATTCTTAATAAAAACTTACATAACAATAACAGCTTACACTTCACAACAAACCCCAAGAGGGAAACAAATCCTTGGACAGGAAATAATTGTAATATAATATAAAATAAAACATAAGAAGGGCTTACGAAAAGCAAACACAATGAAATGTGTTCTATAACGAAAGAGTAAGTGATAAATACACGGTATACGATATATCAGGTCAGTTGCTAGCCTGTCCTTTGAAATACAGCGCGTATTCTTTCCCGTTTGACCGCAAAGCGGGGAACGCGCTGGCGGGCGGTCAAGCCCCCGCCTGCCGCGTATCTGGAACGGAAGCAGTCGGCAAAATTAGCCTTAGCTCGACGGTAAGCTATCGCGGTAAAGAAAATAACATTTAAGAAGTGTAATAAAAATTTACCATTTTTTTACGGAAGGTGGTGAAAATCCTGTCCTCCTAAAGGAATGTACTGAGTGCACTTGTGGAAGACGGAGCTAACTCTACCGTCAGTAACCGGAAACTGTTTAAACCTCGCAGCGCGTGGAGTTTCGTAATTATTCAGGAATGTGGGGGATTTGTTTTGTACAGTTCATCTTTCAAAATCCTTTAAAATAAAAGTCACTTTGTGGTACAATGTGGGGACAATGATCACGGTTAATTACGCGGTCACCTTAAACTTTGAGCAGACCCCTGCTGGAAAACATCGTGTGACCTCTATTTTATTTTTAGTTTCGCGAAAAATGGGTTTAGGATGTTGTTCACGTAAATGGGATTGAAACAGAGAGCCAACTTGTGTGCCCTCATCACACACCAGATACAATTTCTTCGATTTCATAACCAAATTTCCTGAGAATTTGCCCGTCTACGTAAGAAAACCGTGGCTTCACAGGAAGAAGTCCTAACTTATGATATATTTTTGCATCATGTTTTCGCCGAAGAAACTAATCAAAAGAAATATTCTTGGAACAGGGCCATGTTCCTTCACATGATTGCAGCTTCAACAATTCTGTGGCCTTTCAAACCGATGTTATCGAACATTCGTGCGCTGGTCGCTTAAGACAATATCTTGTTCACGTTCCATCGCCAATATCATGAAATGTTCTCTATTACGACTGCATTTTTCCTTTATATTTTTCTTTTCGTAGCAATGAACCTGCTGTATTCTCCTTACCGACCAGGTAATGTGTGCTGACATTTTCTGGAATGCTCATATTTATAATTGGATTGCAATAAACACACGCCGTTCAACAGTATAACATTACTCGATTCGTGTTATACGCAACTGAATGGTTGGTTGAGAAATGCATTAACAGACGTGGTGATTTAGATATCGTCGACATTTATCACTGCAGTCTGGGGGTTGGCCGGCAACTCGCACGGCGTCCACTTCGCGGTCAAACAGCAAGAAATCCATCCTGTATTTAGCTCAAATCGGTCCGGAGAGACTCGTAGAAAGATACCTAATTCAACATATTTACAAAACACATCATACAAGACACACTCTTGCTGCATATATTAAAATCAACATAGATCACAGCTCAATATTCGAGACAATATATCTAAACTATTGAATCAGATAGCAGAATCACCCAATATTATCGCAAGAGTAAAACAGATGTAAACCGAACAGACACATAATAACCAAAAGTTAAATAAAAATACTAGAGGACCTCGAAAAATACGGGCATCCTGTAGAAATCCCTTGTCTACCCAGAAAATTACGAAGTTTCGGTGCGTAATAAAATTTATACGTTTGCGTTGCGTGTTAATGTCTTAGTTTATATTAGACTTGACTAGAAATTAACAGAGAACAATTTGCAAGAAACCTTTAAACTTAACCGTAGCAACGCGCAATTTTTTTTTTTTTTGCAGAAATGTTAATGTTATTCGCAAAAGACTATTTCTAATGTGAGCAAAAGATTCGTTAAGTAACAATTGTCATACAGATATTACAGAACGTGATGAAAATTTCTTTATTATTCAACGACCCCAGAATCAAAAAATTATACACAAACATTTCGACGTGGAAATAATTTCAAGCACACTAATGTACAAATTCACAATTATTTACAGTCGTTGCCAAAAACTGGGAAAGAAGGCGGATGACCTTGAAATTCAACACGATCTTAGTAAATCCACAGAGGACGTGTTCCGGGACTCCGAACCTATAATTGTCCTCGATGCTCAGCGACACAGGACAAATGCAAGAGACGTCAATAATTCCGATTTGCTCCTCTGGTAGTGCCAAAATTTCTTGATGTTGATAGTTCGTCCCTTGCTATGGACTCGTCTTCTTCGTTTGAAAGTTAACTTATTCCCTCCCTGACTGCAGAATGATGGTTTAATTGTCGTATCAGGGCAGAGTTACTCAAGAAATACTTCCAAATCAGTTGACGGTTTTCAGACTCACTCAGTACCGCAATGAGGATAAGGAAAAATTAAAATTGACCAAACACGGATGGTCGATGCCTTGCTAGAAATG